TCTGCAGGCGTTGGAGGAGTTGTAGGTGGTGGCGGTGCTCGGCAGGCGTCGAAGATGCGAAGAGGATGTCGTCAATGTAGACGGTGACAAAATCGAGGTCGCGAAGCATATGGTCCATGAACCTCTGGAAAGTCTGTGCTGCATTGCGTAAGCCAAAACTCATGAAAGTGTACTCGAAGAGTCCAAACGAAGTGGTGATGGCTGTCTTCTGGGTATCTGCCGGTGCTACTGGGATCTGGTGGAAGGCACGCTCCAAGTCAATCTTCGAGAAGATAATCTTGCCATGAAGTTTGTGGTGAAAGTCCTGGACATGCGGAATAGGGTACCTGTCAGGTTTGGTGATGAGATTCAGGGCTCTGTAGTCGCCACACACCCTCCACTCGCCGGGTGTTTGCTTAGGAACCATGTGAAGAGGCGATGCCCAGGGACTCCTTGAAGGGCGAATGATGCCGTCTTGCAGTAGTTTGTTGAATTCTACTTTGGCTGTGTTCAGAAGCTCAGGGCGCAGGCGGCGAGGGCGTGAAAAGACTGGTGGTCCTTTGGTTTCGATGTGGTGGAAAATTCCCGATGTAGGTGGTGGGGGTAGGGAGACTCGGGGTGAGAAAAGCTCCTTGAATTCGTCGAGCAGGGAGGAGAACTCGTTGGAAGGCGCAAGACAGGTGATAGTGTCGGTGTGTCTGGCACGAGAACCCTGGATCTTGCGTGCTGTAGGCTCATGGATGAGGCATAGATGACTTGGTTTGACGCCGAGCTTGTGGAAGGTGAGGAAGTCGAAACCAAGGATGGGTTGAGACACGTCTGCTATCACGAATAACCAACGCAGAGTCTTGGGCAGACCGAGGTCTAAGGCGAGGGTGCGTACGCCGTAGGAGGCGATGGAGGTACCGTTGGCAGCGAACAGGTCATACGAGGGTTGCTTTGACTTGTCTCGTAGTGAGGGAGGGATGAGGCTGACCGATGAACCTGTGTCGATGAGGAACTTCTTGCCGGAGGTGCGGTCGGTGACGCGCAGTAATGAGACGCCTGGAGGGACGGAGGCTGAGGCATCTACCAGCCTCCGGTGTTGCCGTTTCCCGAATAGGTGCAATAGGGCTCACAGTTTCGAGCATTGCGGCCGAAAGTCTGGTGATACCAGCAGAGGGTAAATTTGTTGTGCTGGGGGTTGGCTGCTGTGTGTCGGAACTTGTAGGGCGTGGTGTGTGAGTCAGGAACTGGCGCAGCAGCGGGTATGGAGGAGCAGAACTGCTCAATGGTGTCCATCCTGCGGTTCAAAATTTGCAACAGGTCCTTGATGTCTTGTGAGGTAATGCTCGGCTGAGGGGTGTTGACCCGGCTTACAAGTTCGATGGTAGGTACTGGTGTGACCGTGGCGGCAAGGGGTGCAGCAGCGCACTCGTTAAAAATTCTATCTGCCGCGGTTGCATATAGTTCTGGTGTCGTAGAGTAATCTACTGCGGACAGGATGTTGCGTACTTCTGTGGGTAGCTTTTGTGCGTGAAGCTGGCGCAGGATAGAGTCGGGGAGTCTGTCTGTGTGACGGGAGTTCAGCCGACACATCTCCTCCCAGAGACGTCCCGGGGTTGAGTTCCCGAGGGAGATAGAGGATAGATCTTGCAGGAGATTGGGGCTGGTCTGTTGATAACACGTCTTCAAGGCAGCCCGCAGGGTAGCGAATTTGTTGTCATCTGGAGGGTTGGAAATGGTTTGTGAGACCCGCGTGGCCACTTCCGTGGGCAAGGCACAGAGCAGGGCGCCATACTTTTGCTCGTCGGTCGCTCGTGAGCCGGCGAGGGCTGCTTCCACATGGTCTAGCCAGTCCTCGATGTTGTGGTTGAAAGTCGGCAGAGAGATCCGTCCGTCCTCCATCCTGTGTGAGTGCTTATCTCCGGGAGTCACCATTTGTAGGAAATCGTGGTATAATGTTGTCTAGCACTCAGGATGGATGGAAACTCTAAGGTGGTTTTCTTATATAATATAAGTTATATGATAGACAGTCTGGTGCTGGAGGTGCCGTGTGGTGAGGAGCTGCTCAGTGGAGACGTTCGGTGAGTAGCGTGTTGAAGGAGGTAGATGTGCAGGAGCTTCGTTAGAGAAGATGTTGCCTGTTGCTGGCCTCCTGGTTGAATGAATGCTGGACAGCGTGGAGCTTGCTGATGTAGGTGTTGCATGTTTAAGAAGAATGGCCAGAATAAATCTCAATGGAGAGACAGAGCTTATATACCCAGCAGCCGCGAGTCCTCTATGAGTCATGTTGGGAAAACCCAAGAAAGTCGCCGGTCTCTGGTTCCGTTGCTAGGTTACCGTAACATCTGGTGTCGCCGCTCGCTTGGTTGCTAGGGGAGATGGTAGCAGCTGGTGACGCCGCTACGCAGTTGTAGGGGAGAAGTCCACTACACTACCACAAAGATCCAGCCAGGCGAGGGTACAGGGAGAGGATGTTTTTGAAGAGTCCAAGTGGTGTAAAATTAAACTAAAGGGAGGGGACTTACTTATTGTCGGGTATATCTACAGATCCGCAAACTGTGGTCCACTAAATCAAAGGAACTTAAGAACCTTAATAGACAACACGGCAATGCTCAACCCTAGCCACCTCCTTGAGTCCTTATCATGGGGGACTTTAACTATGGCGACATCGACTGGAGAGACGAGTTCACCCGAAATGACTTGAATAACCCTGCTACGCCTTTTTGGAGAAACTCTGAGAGATAATTTTCTGTTCCAACATGTTAGAGACCCGACACATTACAGAGGGGAGCAAACACCCAAGCCACTAGACCTCATCATAACAAACGAGGAGGGTATGGTGGCCAAACTGGAACACCTTGCCCTAGTTGGCACCAGTCACCATATAGTGTTGTCATTCAGATTTAACTGTTACCTAGTTCAAGATAAGGCCAGGCCAAGGGGCAAATATTACAAGGGAAATTACAACGGGATGAGGGAAGAGATGAGGGGTATCCACTGGCCTGACTCATTAAGGCACAAGAACGCAGACACTACGCTGAATACCATAACTAGTAAAGTGACCCATCTGATCGATAAATATATACCCAAGACCAAACCCAGTGCCTCTAGGAATACGAGGGGATCCCTACACATGAACCATGCGGCGGTTGACAAAGTTAAGAAGAAAGCCCAGAAATTCAAGACGTGGGTTGGATCAAATGATGAGCAGGACAGGAGGATGTATGCAAGAGCCAGAAACCAAGCAAAGATAGAATGTAGAAGGGCTGAAAAGGAGTTCCAGAGGCTGGTTGCAAGCGAGGTCAAGTCAAATCCAAAGGCGTTTTATCGCTATGCAAAGCCGAAATTAAAAACGCGTGTAGGAGAATCAGACCTGAGGCTTGAAGATGGTAGTTACGCAGAATCTGACCAGGATAAAGCTGAGGCATTGAACAGCTTCTTTTCCTCGGTGTACACAAGAGAGGATGCGATTAACCTTCCTGCGTTTGAGGACAGACGGTTCGACACAGTACTGACGCACATTGTGTTCACAGAAGAGGGTATTAGAAGTAAACTGTCAAAGCTAAAGGTCCATAAGAGTCGCGGCCCTGACATGGTGCATCCCACAGTGCTAAGAGAGTTGTGCAACGAGCTTGCCGAGCCCCTGAAGATCCTGTTTTGTAAATGCCTGGATGAGCAAAGGGTCCCCATTGGATGGAAAGTGGCTTATGTGAGTCCTATCTTCAAGAAGGGCGATCGTCACTCCACGAACAACTAAAGACCGGTGAGCCTGACCAGCATAATATGTAAAGTACTTGAGAGTATTATCAGAGATGCCGGGATGGAACATCTACTACGAAACAACCTTGTAAAGGATTGCCAACACGGTTTTATGCCGGGACGCTTCTGTTTAACACAATTGCTCAAGGTATTGAATATTAGGCCCCATATTCTGGAACGGGGTGGGAATATCGACAATATTGTTCTAGATTTTGCCAAGGCTTTCGACAGTGTACCCCACGAAAGGCTGAAAATCAAACTGGAAGGGTACGGAATTCGGGGAAATGTCCTAGCGTGGATAGAAGACTTTCCACATGACTGCAAGCAGTGTGTGGTGATTAATGGCACGGAATCATCATCCGTACCTGTCGCAAGTGGGGTACCACAGGGCAGTGTATTGGGCCCGCTGTTGTTTTTTTGTTTCAAATGACAGCCTGACGTTGTACACTCCTCCATACAAATGTTCGCCGATGACGCCAAGTTATTTATAGAAATTAAGAACCAAGCTGACTGTGAAGAGCTGCAGATGGACCTCTGTGGGCTCCAAGAATGGTCGAAGAAATGGCTGCTGAGATTCAATGTCACGAAGTGTAAGAGGATGCATCTGGGGCATACCAACGGTAAGGAGGCGTATCATATGTCCCAACGGGATGAAGAAACTGCACTATTTGAGACTGAATGTGAGAAGGACCTAGGTGTGTATGTTGACAATGGGCTGAAGTTCTCGGACCATTGCGAGAAGACGGTAAATCAGGCAAATAAATTATTGGGTTTTATAAGGTCATGTAGAAAGTGCTTCCCTATCTGGAGTACTGTCACCCTGACTGGTCCCCGAGATATGCTAGGAACTGTCAGTTGGTTGAAAATATCCAAAGGAAGGCCGCCAGACGGGTCCGACTATTTACCCAAATGTAGCCGCAATGAAGTAAAATAATGGTCCTACATGAATAAATCGGACTGCCAATCACTTCTCGACTAGTATTTGGTGTCACAAAATCACAAAAAATTGGAAAACTTAATTTAATCTGAGTTAATAGATCGAGTGCATGTACCTTACCTAACCTAACCTAACCTAACACAACTCAGATTAAATTAAGTTTACCAATTTTTTGTGACTTTATGACACCAAATAATAATCGAGAAGTGATTCATAGCCCGATTTATTCATGTAGGACCATTATTTGACTTCATTGCGGCTACATTTGGGTAATTAGTGGGACCGGCTAACGAGTGGACCATTTGGTGAAGAGGATAAAAGAAAAGGAAAAGTAACAGAGACGTGACCGATCGCCCAACCCTTCCACTAATAATTTTTTTTTACATACACTCCACTTGTATGAATAATTCGAAATCAATGTTGAAAGCAAGATGATGAAATAAATGTTGCCTCTTGAATGTTCATTGTTTACAATTACAAGCCATCAGCTGTTTGGGTGTGGCTGAGCACGTGTCAGTGGAGCTGCTCTCAGGTACGTAAAATTTGGCGTAAATTATTTATTAAAGATGAAAAATTAGAGATATTTTAGTTCTATTGGACTCAATAGCAACTTTACAAATCATTTGGAAATGGAGCAGACGGTTAGCACCAGAACACTTCTGTTGTTTGGCTGAGTAAGCAGTTAAAAATAAATATCCTCGTTAACTTGTACAGTTCATTCCGAATTGAAATAAAAAATATATTTGGTAGAATTATAATTTCGGTTATCCTCCTATTTGAAGTAGGTCAGAATCGTTCAAAACAAATAAAAAACATCGGAAAACAATTTCAACCTAACCTAACACTCGACCCTAGCCTAAACCTCTCCTTGACGGTGGTAATTTAAAATCCTAATACCGGTAGTCACTGGATGACTGAAACAATAATACTGCCAAATTAACTCGGTAATTATTGAAGACTGTTCTGCGGCCGATTTTTCATAGAAAACGAACATAAAAACACTGCAATTTCATTGTGTGCAGATCGTTCCAAAGTTCCAAGAGTTCACAATTCTCACTCTGAAAAAGTTTGCTCGCACAGTTTTCTGGACTTGTGGCTTCTTCAACCGTGAGCTGTGCCCTTGGTAACTTTTTCTCATCCTGAACACTGACCTGTGTCGATCCGCACCATCCTTCCAATACCACAAATGCTTACCACTGACTGGTCCAGACTCAAGAATACTTATAGGAATTGCCACATCATGATTTTTTTGAGATAAGACATAGAGTAGTGGGAACAAGTTACCAAACATCATCATTAACTCGAATACGCTGGATAGCTTCAAACATAGGTTAGATGGATATATGAGCGATAGGGGTTGGGTGTAAATGGGACTGCCCAGTATGGGCCAATAGACCCGCTGCAGTTTCCTTCATTCTTATGTTCTTATAAAGTGATATTGAATAAAAGATATTCTTCATGGACTTATTGTCTTTATTATAAGATAAGACATATTGGTAAAATGGCAGCGATACATACCACCATCATCTGCACATTTCTTCATAAAAAGAAAAACTATAGTATTTCCATGCTAACCTGGCCCATAAGCCACGCCCCTCTTCTATACTAATAGCTGATTGGTTCATAGAAAATTCAAACTAAATGTGTTCACATTTGGTAAGCAGACTTGTTATTATCTAAAATAATGTTAAATATCTGAACTATCAAAATGCAAATGATTTCAAGGCATGAGCACCTCAGAGAGGATATTAGAAAATTTTTATATATTGTATAAATTACATGTTTTTGTTTTTACAGAAAGTACAGTCATACAATGAGTACTCAGAGAGGCAATACCAGCAGGATACGTAGGCAGAAACACCAAAACAGGACTGTCTTCAACAATAGTCTTCATGACACCAGTAAACATACCAAGATGCTCAATAATTTGGAAATTGCTGAAGTAAGAATGAGACATTTTCTGAGGTACTGTATGAGATATACTGTAGTATTAGTAGATTTTTCTTATCCTTTTTGCCACCTGTTAGCCAACTTCGCTCACTGTCCCATAAGTTATGTGGAAATCAAAATGGATTTAGAAAGGAAAGAGTAATTTAGGAAAATATCATTGGCTTCAAATTCTAAGAAAAAGGGCTTTTAAGGGTCAAAGAATTTTTTATAATGTTCCATGAATTATGAAAAAATATTAGATTTAATGAAACAATAAAGTTATAGACGTCTTATAAAAATTAGACATTACAGTTCTAAAGTTTTGCTGCTTACAACTACAGTACTTTATTTACTTTTGTATAAATTTTACAGGTATGTAAACGATGTCAAGAGGTGATAGCATGGAAAATCAAATACAAGAAATATAAGGCTTTAAGTCAACCCAAAACTTGTACCGGGTGTCGCCAAAAGACCATCAAGGTAATTCATCTTCTGTAATTCTAACAATTAACTAAATTAGAGTGTGTTTTCTTTTTCAAATCTGTTACAATATAGGAAGAAAATAAATGTACTCGTATATAAACACAAAACGTTAAGCATTCAAAATATTAAATATACTAACACTGGAAAAACATTAAAACATAGGCATACTAAGGGGGGGGGGGGCAATCTTGAGCTAATAAATGATTCCAAATAAACCATTTAAAAAAATAATAATAATAACAAAATAAATACAAAATAATAGCATCACTAACAACCTCAACAACAAAAGTATAACATAAAAATATTGATTATCTCATATTTCAACAATACCTTTGTATGTTTAGTTCAGAGTTTGCCTATCCCCTCCTCCCCATTGGCAAATTTCTAGGTATGCCACTGCATTAAAATGACACAAATTTGATGTCAAGGCTGAAATTTCTGGACAGTACTGTAATTTGCAACTTTATTTTATTTTTAATTCTGACAGACTAAAACTAATTGGCCATTTTAAACTATTAGAGGCTTTCTATTTTGGGATGCAATCTTGGAGCTGTAAATAAATGATCTCCTTCAAATAAATAACCAATTGAAATTAAAATAAAGTTGAAATAGAAGTTGATTGAATACACATGCTAATCACAAAACCTCACAACAACCCCAACAACAAAAGTATAACAACAATTGATTATTCATGTTTCAACAGCTTTGTATGAGTTTTTGCCTTCCCATTGGCAAATTTCTAGGTATGCCACTGCATTAAAATGACACAAATTTGATGTCAAGGCTGAAATTTCTGGACAGTACTGTAATTTGCAACTTTATTTTATTTTTAATTCTGACAGACTAAAACTAATTGGCCATTTTAAACTATTAGAGGCTTTCTATTTTGATAGGATGCCTATCACATTCTGTGTATTAATTGTGCCAAGGACTTGGACGTTTGCTGTAAATGTGGGAAGAAGGAAGAAATTGTTGCCCATAAATCTCCTTCAGAAATGGTAAGAAAAATTTAAATAACCAATTGAAATACTGACCAAGCTTTGCTCACTATTTGGCTTCCATAACAGTTGAAATTGGTCTTAGAAGTTGATTGAATACAGGTTGCTTTATGAGGTGTGATGCCACTAAACCAAATTTAAGGTCTCTCTTTTTTCTTTTCTTTTTTTTCATTGCCAAATGTAATGGGATTTTCGGGTAAAAGCTGAGATGTAGGGGAAAAGCTTTGGATATATTTTACTGTAAATGTTATATCTGCCTGTCTTATGTAAATATTCTAGATTTTTTGCCTTCTCTTCATTAGTATTTTAACGGGGTTGTATGAAAATATGAAAGGACCATTATGATCATATAGTTTATGCCTAAAATAATCTTTTTGAACTAATAACCATATACAGTACAGTAATATAGAAACTAAGGATTTGAATGTGAAAATAATCATTCACCCCCAGGAGCGGCTCCAGACAATGGCACAGCTAGAGATGGAGGTGAAAGCCTTGTCAGAACGAAGAAGACGAGCTTATTACAGGTTTGTAGATTAATCTTAAATTTCAAGATTAGTTCGATGTAAACATAAGAATATCCTTTCTCTATGGTGACACACTAAATGGAGTTGGGTAGATGCTGGGGCTTGTTCTCCTATGTAAACAAACCCAATAACTTATCGGGGTTAAGAGTGTCTTTTTGTTTTGTTTTTTCTGGAAAAATAATTATTTATGATAATTTATTAACCCCACACCAAATTAACCTAAATAATGTGGGAATTACCGGTATGATGAAATTGCATATTGTTGGTAAAGGGGTTGGAGAATTTCCTAGTCTAGCCAGCCACCCGCCCTAGTTCCTTCACACACAATTTGTATTGTTGTTTTATTTGGCACTTGTCTCTCAGGATAAGCATTAGTGAGTGCTTCACACACAGCCACAAAAGATTTTGATGCAAAGTAATGTTCAACAAAGAGCACACGTTCAGCCTGTGAATACACCATCCTCTTACCCTGGCTACTGTAGCTCAACTGAAGTCGAACCTATAATTAATTTTTATTTTTTTTATACGTTAAGTATCATGGAGAAAGTTGGGAGAGTCCATTACACAAAACTGGGAGAAGGATATGTCTTTTGATTTCATATTTGTAATTTGTGATTGTTGTTTGGGTTGCATTATATGTTCATCTAAATGATACACCCTGTACAATAACATGGCCACAAATACTATTTGTGGATTTTGACAATTCACAGGGTCCATGGAACCTAACCCCCACGAATAATGATGGATATCTGTACTGTGATTTTGTAACTTTTTCATTGACCCCCTTCATTAAAATTTACCTAACAAACACTCCACCAAATTAGGTGGCTGGTTAGGTCATAGATTCATCTCCACAAGGTATTTCATTGTTTACTATACAGTATTACTACTTGGTTCTGCTCCATTATCCTTATATGTGGTATAATATTTGGAACATGGCACTGGAACATCTACCGGATCACTATACTGACCTGAATTGATTACAACATTATCAGCATGGTGGAACTTAATTTGGTCAATATGTCAACGTACAATTCTACCATCTGTTAACAGAATCATGAATAGTTTATCTCTTATGTTCTGGGTTACAAATCCTGGTTGCCACTTTTGGCCATTTGAGAGATTTAAAGTATAATCAGAATCATTGACACGGATATCTCGAGACACTGAATACTGATCATGAAACTCTTTTTGTTTAATCTGCCTATCCTCAACTTTACCTCTGAGATTGGGATGCACTAGTGACAAAGCTGTTTTAGTTCTCTATTCATGAGTAATTTTGCTGGAGATCGACCTGTCACAGTGTGGGATCTAATACGATAACTTAGCAGGAAACGAGACAACCTTGTCTGAAGGGAGCCCCTTGTCACTGTCCTCAGCCCATTTTTCACAACCTGAACTTCACGCTCTGCCTGCCCATTTGATGCAGGTATGAATGGAGCACACTGAACATGTTTAATACCATTAAGTCTCAGGAAGTTTTGAAAGTCTGAACTCGTAAAGGAAATACCATTGTCACTAACAATGGTATCTGGCAAACCTTGTTGAGTAAAGATTGCGCGCAGAGACTCTATCATACTTTCTGATGTAATTGAAGTCATTATTTACATTCAATCCACTTTGAATAAGCATCTGTCACAATCAAGAACATTTTTACCCAGGAAAGGACCAGCAAAATCTATATGGCGTCTCGACCCAGGTCTCGAGGGCCACGGGTGAATAGGAGATTTGGGTGGTCTTTAACAGAGCTCCTGACAACTAGAACACCTATGAACACACATCTCAAGATCCCAGTCCATATTTGGCCACCACACATGACACCTAGCCATTACAACAATACCAGGGAGAGAGTCATGTAATAGAGAAAGAAGTTTAGAGTGTCCCTTTGTCGACACCACAATTCTCGACCCCCACACTAGACAATCTGACTGAACTGAGAGTTTGTTTTTCCTACTGACATATGGCTTAGTCTCTGATGACAAACTTTCTGGAATGTTCTCCCAATCACCAGTCAAACGTACCTCTTTACACATGACAAGATTGGATCATTGTTGGTCCACAAACCTATTTGTTGGGCTGTCACTGGTGCTACTTCGTCTTCAAAGCATTGCATTACAAGCAACAACTCGGCAGACTGAGGAGTTACAACAGTCGAAGTAGGAAGGGATAAGCGACTCAGTGCATCGGCGCTGGTATCAGTTTTACCGGGTTTGTACTTTATGCTGTAGTCATAACCAGACATCACCAAAGCCCATCGCTGAATACGTCCTGAAGCATTAGGGCTGATTCCTTTATTTTCTCCCAACAATGTTATCAGTGCTTTGTGATTCGTTTCAAGCTCAAACTTATGACCATAAAAGTACTGGTGCATCTTTTTTACTCCAAATACACAAGCTAAAGCCTCTTTTTCCACCATACAATACTTATGCTCATCTGAAGACAATGTGCGAGAGGCAAAATCAACAGGTTGAAGTCTTTCATTTTCATTGTATTGTTACAAAACAGAACCAACACCATGTGAAGATGAATCACAGCTCAAAACATGTTTTTTACTGGGATTAAAGTGAACTAGGAGATGAGAAGAAAAGTTTCTTAGCCTCTTTAAAAGCAGTTTCCTGATCAGAACACCATTTCCAAACTCTATCTTTCCTCTCCAACGCATGTAATGGCTCAAGTAAAGTGCTTAAATTTGACAAAAAATTACAGTAGTAATTCAAAATCCCTAAAAATGCTCTCAATTTCAAAACATTCTTGGGTTTGGGAGTATTTCTGATAGCCATCGTTATTGATTAAGTTGGCATGATACCACTGGCCATAACCTTACGACCCAGGAACTCTACCCCAGGTGCCATAAACACATATTTCTGAAGTTTTAGTTTCAACCCAACTCCATCAAGGCGGCGTAATACCTCCTCCAAATTTCCCAAATGCTCATTTTCTGACTTACCCGTCACTAGAACATCATCCTGAAGCACTACAGTTTGAGGGATAGACTTCAGAAGACTTTCCATGTGTCTTTGAAACAGCAGCAGCTGACTGGATTCCAAATGGGCACCTGTTGCTAACAAACAATCCTTTATGGATGTTAATACAGGGTGCAAGTATATGTCTGTGACTCCTCATAAAGTTCCATTTGAGCATATGCTGAGGTAAGATCAAGCTTGGTGATTGGAAGTTCCACTACCAAGAGTCTGAAATAGATCATCTGCTTTAGGTAGTGGGTAGTGATCGAGTTTGGAAAACCTATTTATAGTAGTTTTATAGTCCCCACAAATGCGCACACTACCATCAGATTTCATCTCAGGGACTATTGGACATGCCCAATCACTGAATGCCATTGTTTTTATGATACCCTCAGTATGGAATTTGTCTAGCTCTTCCTTAATGTTCTCACGCAACATATAAGGTACAGATCTGGACTTGAGAAAGATTGGTTTGGCATCCTTATCCACATGTATTTTCATTTTATGTCTACTGAATAAAACAATGCCATCTTCAAACACAGACCCGTATTTCATCAACACACTGTCACATGTTTTGCTTGAACCAGAAACTGACAACAATTTAAGCTTACCTCAGTCCAAATCAATAATTTTGAGCCAGTCATGACCAAGCAATGTTGGGCCACATCCTCTCACAATCCACAAAGATAATTCACGAGACGTTTCTTCATAAGTTACGGTAACCATAGCACTACCAACCAAAGGCACTAGCCGATCTTTATAAGTTTTGAGATGCTTAACAACTGGTTCCAATTCTGGTTCTACTTCCCATTCTTTTTCCCTAACTTTTCATATGTCTCATGATTCATTCCAGTTTTGCAAGCTCTGGTGTCCAATTCCATGTTTTCTCTAACACTGTACCTGGTACAGTATTACTGTAGATGGTACAGTGTACCATCAAAATCAACTGGTACAGGTACAAGTTTAGGAGAGTGAAGGATCATCACCATTGAACTTATACAATAAATAGAGTTCCACTTCACTGTCACTTGTCCCAGTTTCTAAAATGTTTGTTGTGCCAGGGTCGTAAATACTGGAAAGCTCCTGCAAGCCAACAGCTGTCAAGCTGCAGTACATAAGTTTCTGCAGATTTATTAGCCCTAAGGCACATTTTTCCCACACCTGTTACAAGTATATTGCTTGAAATGACACAGGTGTGGTTTGTGATTCCAACCACAACGCCAACACTCGATCGATTCCTTGCCTTCAATGTTCGCCACATCACCTCTGCGACTACTGTACTCCTATTGGCCATTCCAGAACTCGGAGACGTAAACTTGGGAGTTGACTGTGGCTTGCATTTACTCTTATAACCTGTCCATGGTGATTGCTTTACCAAGGGTCAGGGTATCACCCTCCGCGAGCAATTTCTTCAGAATTGAGTCATCATTAATACCCATCACAAAAAAATCCCGCAACATGGTGTCCAATGTAGCTCCGAATCCACAAGGCTCGGCCAGATGACGTAAATCAGCAACATGCTTGATATATCCTGTCCTTCCTTCCTGACATGTGTATAGAATTTTTTACCTCGATATGATCACACCTGCTTTCGGTTTGTAGTGGTCCTCAACGAGCTTGGTAAGCTTCTCATAAGTCTTGCTTGTAGGTTTGGCAGGTGCTAGGATATCCTTCATCAAACAGTAAGTCCTGCTCCCGCACACCGTCAGCAACACAGCACGCTGACGGTCAGCCTCACCCGTAGCGTCAAGCTTGTTAGCCACAAAATATTGGTCCAGCCGTTCTACAAAATCAGACCAGTCCTCCCCCACTTGGAACTCCTGCAACAATCCAAACTGGGCCATGGTCCAGGGTGTCCGTGAGGCAACAGAACACTCAAAAGCCACCTCGTCGCTTTTTGTTTTGTATATACAGTAATTAGCCATCGTACGCTTACATCAACAAAGTTGATTACATTATAACACAGAAAAGTAAGTGCAACTATCAGTGTATAACATGAGCTAACAGAGACGTCTGTGTAAGGAATCACTCCACAGAGAATAATACAATGAAGCATTGAAAAATACAAACAAAACAATGAGACATGTTTGAACCCGAACATAACAATTACCTTATCTTTTATTCTTCACAGGTGCTCCCCGTCATCTCAATCACCCACTGTAGTCCATTCCATCCTCCCCTTTCATAAATTATTCTACTGCCTCTTCAATATTGTCTGCTGTCAACTTAAGTCATCAGCATGCAACAACTCCCACCTCAGATTCATCACTATCCTCACCACTTTATATACTGTACACTGTAGCTACTTGAAATAATAATTTTCATAATTTCAGGTACATTGATAAACTTGAGGGAAAAAAGAAGAAAAAGAAGAATGCAAAGCAGCAAGATACAGGTTCTCTTGAAACAGAAAGAGTAAACAAGGAATCTGCAGAGAATGAAGAGGAAACTTGTGAAGAGCCAACGCCTCTGTCTCTAGAAGAATACTTCCGAAATGCTCGGCAGAAACTTGAAGAACTTAAGAAAGGGATGACTGCTGATGATGACCTGTTTGATGATTTGAGTATTAGCAGTGATGAGGAAGAAGATGACTTTGAAGATGGTGATGAATAAGATGTATCATTTTTAATCACTTGTGACGATAAAGGCTCAATAATAAATGCAATAGGAACATTGCACAATAAATAGTGAAAAATAAAATACTTTGTTTTTCAAGAAAATTTAAATAAATACACGATTTATTATGCTATACTGTATTTATATTTCAAAATTTATTTATAAAAAGCTGACTTAGTTTGCAGTAAGATACAGCAAACTGTGCTACTGTACACTGTATTAATATGAAAGGATACAGTGAGGAAGTAAATTAACAATTGAAACTATCACGAAGGACTGTATGTTATAATTTAAATTTGTACAGTACATGAATGGTAATTAATAGGAGTTAAATGAGATGTTAGTGGGGTAATGAGGTAGACTCACAACATGGCAATAGCAATCAGAGTACAGCATACCCTTCAAATTCGCAGGGGTTAGGTTCTCAAAATGGCCGCAAATCGGCCAGGTGGAGGGAGGTGGGGGGGTATATTTTTACTGGTGTACAATGAAATGTACTGTAAAAGCCCTTTATGTGTTTGCCCATAGGACAATTATTTCCTTTACCTGAATATATATGCTGATAACCACAAGGAAACAAGAAAACACGAAGTTCCCAAGCGCTTTCGTGTAATTCATATCTTCAGGGGTGAGTACAGTCTGTACTCAACCCTGAAGACGTGAATTACACGAAAGCGCTTGGGAACTTCGTGTATTCTTGTTTCCTTGTGGTTATCAGCATATACTGTACTTGGATCACGCGCACCTACAGTGATTTACTTGCATATGTATATATATGTGTGTGTGTGTGTGTGTGTACAGTAGACACACAAAACACATACAAATAAATAATAATGGGGAAATCCTCTCACAAATAATCAGAAACAAATGTAGTATTAAAAATGTTGAGTTTACCCTCAAGTCTACTCCGTGTTTTGTTATTAATAAAGCATGGAGTAGACTTGAGGATAGACTCAACATTTTTAATACTACATTTGTTTCTGATTATTTGTGAGAGGATTTCCCCATTATTATATATTTATGTGTTTTGTGTGTGTCTACACACACACACATATACAGTATGCAATACAGGTAAAGGAAATTACTGTCTCTAGAACGAATGGCTCACTGTCCCAATCGCGAAAATGCCAGCAACTTTAAAACTACCCGCGGACATTCTTGGGTACATCCACTTTTTCTTTTATCCTCTTCACCACTGATCGGCTCGTTAGCTGCTTGGGCGATCGGTCACGTCTCGGCGAATAATAGAGGACCGCGAAATAAAAATTGCGAATTATCCGGGCATACTCATATCTGAGGGTTGGTAACCACAGTCCTCCACTCTAAACATCTCGTGCTACTTTTATCAATCCTCCAAGATTTTGTTGCTCTCTCAGAACCCAGTTTTTAATTTCATCCATCCCAGTCTCTGCCTTTCCCTGGCACTTTTGCCTACAACTCTGCCCATTAATATTTTTACCATTCTAATGTATTGTACGTACTGTGTAATGTATTGTACGTACTGTGTAATGAATTGTACGAACTGTGTATTATTGTTTTTTAAGAAAAATGGAGCATTAAGCAAACTTGTTATCACTTGTCCCTTAATTTTACTTGAATGTGAATGTTACATCCTTTTGAGTTATTGTTTTGTACTAACACTTATTTTTTTAATCATTATCTCTGTGCATAAGGGATTTGTTTTATATGTCTATAAAAATGTCTTGGTGATTTCTTTTTTCATTAACCAGTTTTTTACTAATTGGTCAGTGCCACTTTTTATCATAACAGGAAGCTGTTTATGCTTATTTTCTTAACTAAAATAAATAGCATTAGTTTAATTACAGCTGGAGAAGGTACAAGGTGATTGTGATTGGTGGATCTATTCTTGGCTGTATCACTGTCAGGATAAATATTAAACAAACTAAAGGTAATATTTTTTAATAAACTATTCATTATTATTTTAGATCAAGAGTAGTTTCTAAATGTTCATATATTTGCTTAAATAATGAAGAAAATTTGGTGTAAGAATCTTGTGGCAGCTGTGGCTGTAGTTAAGTTGCCAATTTATTAATATTATTTTCTTCATTATTTAAACAAATATACAAACTTTTGGAAACTTCTCTTGATCTAAAATAATAACGAATAGTTTATTATAAAAATGTTACCTTTAGTTTGTTTAATATTTATCCTGACAATGATACAGCCAAGAATAGATCCACCAATCACCATTACATACAGTCTTACTTTACCAAGCATTGCCAGGTAAAATTGTGTGTACGAGACCCAGGGTGGGTTCGCTGGATCTTTGGTTGACTGTACATATACGTATACAGTACTATACTAGGCCTATGATAACATAATTTCTTTGAAATTGTTTAATGTAAATTTGTAAGTTACCTTTAATTACTTTACTATTTCTATTACTTGAAATAGTGAATGAAAAGATTAAATTTACATATATGAAAACATCCCTTAACTATCAACTGACTGAAGAACTAATTGGATCAAGTGTGCTGTTTATAATCCCCTCATCAGGAAGTGACCATAATACTGTACACTATGTACTTATTGCAACAAAGTAATGTACTGTACAGTGAGAAATAAGACAGCATAGTTGAAGTAAATAGTAATACAGTGTACAGTAGTTTACAACACTTGCATAGGGAAACCACCTACTTTTGATTAGTTTTTTATTGAAACCATATCCTTTCTTATCTCAAAAATATGCAAATTCAGTATTAATGAACAGCAATTTTTTTTGTATTACTATTTTTGCAGAGTTACTTCACATAAATAATTGACTTGCATCTGCCAATATTCTTGGATCTTGGGTTTATTTTCTCCTTCTGTAGCCTTGAGCAGCTGGGCCATGGTACAGCATAAATAATATGCCTTGAATGCGACAATGACGCCTTGGTCCATAGGCTGCATCAGTGCTCTCATGTTGGGAGGCAGAAATACAACTTTTACTGTCATGCAAGTCACTGAGATTGGGAGGATGAGCTGGAGCATTGTAAATGATCAGAAGAATTTAGAAGTCAAGGTTCACCTTGGCACAGTATTCCTTCTGTGCAGTGATGGCGTACATGTTCAACCACTGGCTAAATGTGGCGCCGGTTATCCATGCCTTTTTGTTTGCCTTGTAAATGACAGGAAGGTGATCCTTAGAGTAACCTTTCAGGGCCCGTGGGTTAGCAGCTCGAGAAATCAACATCGGCTTCAGCTTGAAGTCGCCAGCAGCGTTCGCGCCAAGCAGCAGCGTCAAGCGGTCTTTTGCTGCTTTAAAACCTGGTGCTCTTTTTTCCTCCTTGGAGAATAGGTCCTCTTAGGCATCCTCTTCCAAAAGCGACCAGTCTCATCCACATTGAAGACTTGCTTCCTTGATAATCCGTTTGAAATCTGGCGGGAATGTCTCGGCAGCAACCATATCTGAACTGACAGCTTCACCAGTCATCTTAATATTGTGGAAGTTATACCTGCGCTTAAATCGTTGACACCAGCCTCGGTTGGCCGTAAAGGTCTCTTCCTTTAATCTTTCACCCTCTTCTTCCTTTCGTCGTCAAACAAGGTGTAAAGGCTTAGGACTTTGCAATATAAATCCCTTGCCAGCCTAATCAGGATCTTATAAAAGGAAAGTCAAGAACCATGGGTTTCCAAGGGTAACAAACAACCGTTAGAGATTGACATCTCTTTACTACGAAAATAATCAATAACTGACACCACTCACACAAATATTACATAAACAATTATGGGAGTCAAACAATGTACAGATATTTCCTACGGCGGCAGCCCGGTGGAATGTTCCGTTAATGCGGTGGTCCGCTTTCAGGGGGAAGGTCCAGGGCAGCTTCCTCACTTGGCGCCGGCGTTGGTGGGCGATGTCTTGCCACACAGGAGAGACGCCAGGGCACGGACGGTGGATAGGGCGTGGAGGAAGTGGCGATGAGGTGGCAGCCGCGGTAGTAGCTGGAGTAGGTGTCCGGAGATTGACAGCCGAATAGTGAAGGACTGGGGAATCAGCCCACAAGCCCCAGGAGCCTCAGATGAGCACACAACCAGAATTGTAATCGAACAGCAGGGGAAGTGCAGCTGTGGTGCTGGCTGGGTAGTCTCTGGTGTGCGACGAGGCAGCAGCGACGTTCTCACCTCCGTCTACTCCCTTTAGTGGGGCCGCGAACAAGCAAACGAGCGGCGGACGACCATCCCGCTCGTTACCGCCCTTACACAAGGATCTGGCCTTATGCTGGATAACCATAAGGCTCACAGGTGCATTGCATTGATTCTGGTCCTCCATCCACATAGCCAGCAACTTTTCCACTTTTTCGATCACAGTACTTCTAGTATGAGTTGTTTTAGTTGCACTGAGAATAGTACCACTTTCAGCACTAACCTTAATCTTGTCAGCGTTGGTCCGGATAGTATACACCATTGTGGGGGTTAGACCAAGCACAGCGGCTATGTCCACAGCACATTCCCCTTTTTCAAATCGGCTTAATACATCCATTTTCGTAGCAAGGGTAATGGTCTTATGTTGCCTCTTCACTGCACTAGCATCAGTAGCACTTGATGGGCGCTTGGAAGCCATTTCGAATGGTTATAGTACAGTTTTAGAGCAAAAGCACTTAAGCACACATGAATGATGTGAAGTCGTAACAGACTGGCTTGGCGCCGCTTGGGGACGCTGTGAAGTTCCGCGAGTGAGGGCAGCGCACCGAGCCGAGAGAGCGTAGCATGGCCAGACGAACGGGTGATGCGCTGTGTTAAGTAGTCCGTGACAACGCAAAATGACGTGGTATCGGATACCCGGAACGTTAAACGAATTTTTGGTCTCTAAAGTTAGCGGCGTAGTACCGAAACAACGTTAAACGGGACGATGTTATACGAGGATGCACTGTACCCAGTAATTATTGTGTTCAAATAACCATTGAAATTTATTACAGTACTCAGCTTAGTAACTTTGTGTTGGTGGCACATTTATTGGATCAGACAATAATTATTTATGAACTCGACTTCTCACAAAGTCCCATGACTCATGAGAAACTACTGGGACATATACAGTACAGTACTAACCCTGGAAGTGTTTACTGTTACAGTGTGCATTATACCTGTAAAGGCTAAAACTAAATTATTTTGCCTACTATACCTTAGGTTTTGTATATACTACAGTACAGTATAGCTTAAATTGTAGCTACCCTTAGTGGGTTAAGTTAAGTAAGCGTGTGTGAGTATTTTCACATAGAGCATAAAGTTCCAAATTCTGTACACTACTGTACACAGGGGTACTCAACCCACTGTCTGATGTGGCCCTCGGCAAATAGTATAAATATAATTAATATAACTGC